GGAGGGATGGAAATAAAAGAAAAAGAAAATAAAGAAGAGAAGAGAAAAACGCACAAGGATGTCATTACTTAACTAAACAAAATCAACATGATAAAACTTGGAGAAGCCAAATCTCTAGTCTTAACCCTTCCAAAAGAAATGTAATGCTTCAATGAATTTCAGTTTTCTCTCTCCTTTAAACAATCTGGCAACTCATTTAATCATTTCTAGACCTAAAAATGTTAATTTAAACACTTTAAACAACAAAATGTTTCTTAACAAAATGCTAGCAATTATTTAAAAAAATACTTTTATGACAAAGAAAATGAGTCATCTTGATTGAGAAACAGTTGTTGAAAAGTCAGTAATTTTTGGCAAAGTCAGTGTCATTCAGATTAAAAGGCAGTATTGTCAGTTTCATCTTACGTCAAAGATGAGCATTTGCCCTGTAATATTAACATATGGGTGACATAAGGAAGTAAAGTTTAAGGTCACGGTTGAAAATGTAACTTGATGAATCATTAGATCTAAATCTGAAAGTCACCGACATAATCACCAAAGTTGAATGTCAAACACAGTTTGGGAAGGAAAGAAGGCAGGTGAGATGCATAAGAAACTCATACAAAAAGAAGGAATGAAATTACACCCACTCCTCGCTATCTACATGCTTAGGTTCGAAAGACCAGGTCCTTATGTGAAAACTGGCATTTTGCAAAAATGGAAGATGCCATATCAGATCACAAAACAGAGGATGATTACATCATTACATAACTGTCATTATGTCAGTACCCAACCTAACTCATAGCGACCCCATGGGGTTTCCAAGGCTGTAAATCTCTAAAGAAGCAGACCACCACGTCTTTCTCCTGTGGAGCTGCTGGTGATTTCAAACTGCTGACCTTTCAGTTATTAGTCGATCGCTTTAACCACTGTGCCACCAGGGCCCCTTTTACATCATTACATAACTGCCAAATTACATCATTATGTAACTGTCAAACCACTGAGAATCAAGGCACAGCCAAGTTAACATGTAACTTTAACCACCATAGCCAGCATTACTCTCACCTCATACCTAGACATTTGTTACCGCCACATGTACGCTGTTAATGCACAAAATAGTTGCATAGCAGATTTTTTACCATTGTAAATGCAAGATATTGGATAACAAGATAGTCGATAAGGGAGGAGTGGGTGTGTTACAATAAAGAAAATCCCCTATAATTATCCCTTCATATTGTCCATTATGTGGTAAGGAAGAAATTCTCTAAATGGTCATTTTCACACAAAAACACATTCTCTTTCCCAGTGAAGTAAGTTAAGGAAAATAAAATTTAAAAGGTATACATGCTGGGAAGCCTTATTTCTCATTTAAAAAAAAAAAAAAGAAATCATTTCCTAGAAAATCAGATGAAATAACAATATTATCCCTTTAATTAGATCCAAAAATCTTTTTTCATACATTTCTCAAGGGCTTTAAGAAGGTAATGACATATCTAATGTTAGGGGTTGAATTACTAATTTATAAAGAAAGAGAGAGAGAGAATATTTTACATAACACATATACAATTGCTTTTTATATTAAACTGATAATATTCAGTGAAGAAATCGCCATTATCTAATTAGATACATTAAATGACCAGAAAACAATCAATATACTTTGCAAACTCACATGTAGTCAGAATAAACTAAAAACTATTCAGTTCTTTAGTATCTTCATTGTCATCAGTGAATTGATTTTCTGAGCCACTCTGTCTTCTGGATGCCCATTTGGCCAATCAATTCTGTTAATTATTTTCCAACTCTGCTTTTAATTATCAGTAGGAATATTATGCTTCAAAGCACATCACCAGTTCTAAATCCACATGTGGAGTGTAAGGACATTTTGTAATAACACAAAAGAACCACAAAATTAATATAATAATGGATTTAAAGGTTGTTTTAGAAAAAGCATAACCTTCATTCTAAGAGTTTTTGTTAAAAATACATCTAATATAGAATGATGGTTCCTGAACTATGCCATTTTGATGTAAAAGCTGTTGATTAATAAAGTCTGGATTACTCGATTATGCATTTGGTTTCAAACTTGGCTTTTAGTACTCGGAGACTGTTCCCAGGCAGATTGTCAGTTCATTATCAGTGCAATAGACTGCCCAGTTGTACCTTTTTCAGCTACAGTAAATACACTTCTGTCTGGTCTCATTATCTTCGTGTCTGACTTTTTGTTACAGAGAGTTTTGAAATCATATTTGATGGCAGTGAAGCTTCTAGGGAAAATTTATTGACTTAACAATCCCATCAAACATCCGCTGTCATGTGGAACTGTCCCCAGTACAAGGCAGATTAGTGAATATGAGCTGCTTCAATTTGGCCCAACTGTCTGGCTAAAGAATTTTCCATTACATGGGTGGGTGAGATCAACTCAGTTTGGAACCATTCAATTTATTCTGTGGCAGCAGTAAAAGAGAACACAGCAGTGTCTAAAACTGAATTTGAATATGCTCTCTTCTGTGCAGCTCTGATGAAGCAGCAATGCTATGATGATAAATTGTTATTACTCAATTTATTTTTTAAGTAGATCTACGCATCCACTCTTGTGAGCTGTCTTGGGTATCAGGAAAAATAAAGTTCCTATGAATTCCTTGTAGATTCTGGACACGATGAGACGGTAGTTAGAGCTCAAAACAGAGGCCAATTGATAGCATGTGCAGTTTCCCGGGTGTGCTGCGGCCCCAAGGTTTTATTTTTGTTTTCTCTGCCATGTAAGGTCAATAACTAAGACCAGAGGAAGTTTGGAATTTGCTTTTACATAACATGCTAGACTTCTTTCAATTCTGACAGTCTGCAGACTCCTGTTCCACACTTAAGTTGGGATACAAAAAAATAAACTGAAAAATATATATAAATTAGATTACGTCTGTGACACCTTAATATTTGCAAAAGAGATCAAGTTTTCAACAAATTATCTGGAAATATATAGATTTATATTGTAACATAAATAGAGATTTAAAGTTGCTTTTATAGTCAGGAAAAGCAATGAAAAGAAATGCTCTTAATGAGAAGTTCCTGCACTTGAAAATTGAATTTATTATTACAGAAGACAGTTAATGATGAGAAATTAGAGGTAGATTAACTTGATATTCTACAAGGCATCTCGTTTGAAATAAAATGCACAAATTATACTAACAAAAAAGAATTAAAATATAGTTTTCCAGCAGTATATCTACTTTGAAAAATGTAGGCTACATCAGTAATACGTGAAATTTATTTTAACTGTTGACATTTTATTTTTCATATAAGCACTAGATTATCCTTACAAGCTTCTTATAATGATCCCCTACTCTCTAAAATTTCACATTAAGTCTCTGAAATACTAGTGTCATGCAAGCAATAGATACTTCATAAGTTTTTGTCCATGATGGAGATATGCATTCCTAACAGGAATTTCCATTTCTGTTATATGCGGAATTAGTGAAAACAATCCTATATATCAATAAGATTTCTCTATTTAGTTTAAATTGAGGACAACATTTTATTCCACAAAATGAAATTAACTGCCTGAAATATCATTTTCAATGATCTTTAGTTCCTATCTTCTAAAAAAATTCAAACTTATCACAATCATAGCAGTCTTCACAAAGTATACACAGACACGCAGAAAATATTTTTTTCTCCATTTTATAAACATAAAAACTATGGCTAATCATGTGAAAATATTTATAATGAACTTTTTCTAGGGCACATAGGGATTTCAGACCCAGTCAAGGTTAGTAATACATTTGTAAGTAATCTGAATTTAAAGTTTAAAGGATCCTTAATAGTCACCTAATTTGAATGTGTCCTCTTACAGATTAAGAAACTGAACCCTAAAAAGATGAAATGACTTACCCAGTGTCATAGAGCTAGTATGTAGCAGATGAGATATTCCTTATGGTTTATAAATATGAATGTAATTTATATTTACAAGAATATTGTTTATTGTCATTTTCAAACTAAAACGTAAAAAGAGCATATAACCTTATATTCCTTTATGAGTATATTTTATTTTAGATTACAAAATGTAGTGACCTTATGTGTCCTGGTGTATCCAGAAAGATTTCTGGATTGCTCACATTGTTTATTCATGTAATAATGTTCACAATATAATGTATAGAACCTACGCTTATTTGTTGCATCTTAATAAGGCAAAGAAACATGTAAAGTTTCACTTTGAAATAATTTATGATATATATTGCATAAATGTGTTTTTTATATTTTTCCCAAATATCTTTACAGAGCACCAGGGACAAACTTCTATTATATGTACTTAAACATATGAGATATGACAGGATAATACAGCATACTTTTTTACACATGGAGCCCTGGTTGTACAGTGGTTAAGCATTTGGCTGCTAACCAAAAGGTCAGCAGTTCAGATCCACCAACAGCTCCTTGGAAACCCTATGGGGCAGCTCTACCCTGTCCTATAGGGTCCCTGTAAGTCAGAATCAACTCGACAGCAATGGATGTTGGTTTGTGTTTTTTTACACATTAGCAAAAATGAAAAACAAAGCCTTAAAATGACTTAAACTCCTGTCTCCTAACTAGTATTGCTTTATTTAGGGGATTGCATGTCTCTATTGTGTTAATATAAATGGGAAGGACTTTTGTCAGCTGTGACTAACATCCCAAACATTGTATCTCTTCTAAAGGAATCAGAATTTTAGAAATAAAAATACAAAATGTGCATGCCCCATCCAACCAGTAATTTCATGTCTTTATAGACAGTAATTTCTTGATCTCAAAACAAAACCAGCACTAGGTAGAAAAATTTTAGGAAAAAGAAATGTTGATAGGTTTTAAAATATCATCCTGGGAATTTATTAGAATTCCTTCTTATTATGAAAAACATTAATCTTCTTTATTACCAAAGGTACTACAAAAAATAGACATTTTTTCTTGTACATACTGTATTTATAGGGCATCTCCATATTTTATAAAGTCATAGATCAAAATATCAAATATTTTCTCATGTGTATGCTCACCTGCTCAGAAAAGAGGTCACTGTCATCTTCCAGGTATTTACTAAAAGGGTTGGGTTCATAGATTTCCTCTTCTTTTTTCAGGAATATTTTGGATTTTGCAGGTACTGGGCGAATTACTCCAGGCTTAGTCTTAATCAAGTAAATTTAAAAAGAGAGAAAGAGAGAGAGAAATAAACACTATTAAAATCAATAAATATATGTGCATTATTAAGTCATTCAAATGTGTCTTTCACTAAAATTTATATTTTTTAATTTTAAAATGATTTTATAAATTCACAAAAACAGCCCGAATATCAAATTATTTTAATTAATGCAACTTTAGTCTGAAGTTGACTGTTAAAGCAACCGATTCATAATGATCCACTATCATGATGTTCAAAATGCAAAAACTTCATTCATCTAGTCAAACGTGCTCTTCTACCCATGAGTGCATTTGGTCAATAAATATTTTATTTGACAAATATTTGTTGTGCTGAGCAGAATTCCAGGCATATTAAGATAGACAAATTTGGCATGTCCCCTAAGCCCATAACTACTTTCTTTTTTTCTGGTATCTGCCTCTATGCCCCAAATCCACAGGGCTGAGCCCCCAGAATCCATGTTTATATTATGTGTAGTGGAACCAGGGGTGGCCATCTGACCTATGTGGGGGGCAAAGGCAAACAGATTCTCTCTTTTCAGTAACTTCAGGAGATTGAAAATATAATATGTCAATTTGGGAGCCATGGGAAAGCCTTAATCTGCCAGAAAAAGCAGATTTTCCAAGATCAAGAAGGATAGAGCAAAGTACACGAAGAGGCATTCCAGAATCCAGTCCCAAAGCATTCCTGGGAATCAGTTGGATTTCCTGCCCTGAAGTTCTCTAAGAGTTTCCTTTGCTTTCACACTAGTTTTCTCTTTTCATATAATACAAGTTTACTTCTATAACTTGTAATCAAAAGAGTTTTAGCTAATACACCAGTCACTCAAGTGTCATAAACTTGTACCGAATGTCTATTTGACAAAAAAAAAAAAAAGGAGGAGGAGGAGGGAGAGAGAAAGAAAAATCTAGTTTGGAGCAGTTTTAAAATGATGTTTTCACCAACACCAAAATCTTGTTACACTGTAAAATGCCACAAAATGATTGATAAGTTTGCAAAAATATCCCAAACACACAAGAATTCAATAAAAATTTGTGATACTCTTTCTGTTTAAGCATTTTGCTGTAATCATTCTTCTCAACCCCATTTCCTTTCAGAAAATAGTAAATTAGCTCTCCTCAGTTAATGCTGACGGTCACAAGTTAAGCCTTCAGGGACTACATCTATCTCTCTGCTCTATAAAGCCCCTGATATATTTTGAGTCTTAAATAAATATCACTTTTCAATACTTTTTTCAATCAATATTTTCCCAGTTGTCTTTAATACGTATGCCAACCGGGGAGATACGGATTGAGAGAAGTCTCTATCTTACCCAGACTAAGAAAAATCTCTTACTTAAGAAACTCTGATTTCTCTCTCAAGGTGAGAAAACGTGCAAATAACATCCAATTATGCATGAAGTCATGTACTGTAGTTGAGTATACATATGAGAGCAGAAATCTTAGCATAAGAATGAAGCCCAGGTAGTTACTGATTTCTACAGTCACCTGTAATAAGGGAGATGCCCGATATCTGGGCCATGATCCTAAGTTTTCCAGACTTTCTGTCTCTTTCTCACTTGACTGCCACTTTCATTTCTCCTTCCTTCTGCTCTTACTTCTGCACCGTCTTCCTCTTTCCTACCCTTTCTTAGGCAAAAAATCTGCAAAAAAAACTTCAGTACTCAGGGCCTACCAGGTTCTGAAACCAACATGGAACTTTGGGGGCTAAGCTTGGTGGCAGTATAAAGACAAAGAAAAACAGAAGAAATCTCATCAGGGGTACTTGACATACTAAGGGAATCCCTGTGCCAGAGAAACATGATTGCCCAGTCCCTGTGCTGCTACCAGGCTCTGGTTTTGGTTACCCTGGCCTGGAGCTTCTCATTCACATCATCTCTCTTGGGACCAGGCCCCTCCAGGATGAGACCAGAAAGAAAAAACTCTTCTGGTTGGATGACAAGCAGCTTCAGTATCCAAATCAATTACTGATGATTCGTATTTGTTCCTCTACCAGCCTGTATGCTTCTTAGTTTCTATGAATTTCCTGGATCTGATGGTTGTCTGGCAATTTGACAATGGTTCTTGCCCTATTTTTCTAGTCTTGCAGATTTTCCACATTCCCTCTCCTTGGACTCTGTCCCCAGGCTTGGTTTAAGTGAAGTCTCTGAGTCTTCCTCATTCTCGCTTGCTTACTGGCTCTTGATACTGTTGTTCTGACTCCTACATTGTCTACATCACCTCTTTCCTTGGGCCTGTTTTCGCTCTTGCACCTTAACTTGTTGTCATCTAGTAGTCAGTATTACATAGGCATGGAAGCCAACTATAGGCAAAAAAAAACTAGACAAAGTTTGCCTTTGACATTGTTCACATGTTCCATCCTATGACTTTTAATCATTCCCTCCACACACAACTATCTCTCAGTATTTGGTCAAGTTGGAAATCTAATCCTGGTGGTCCAATTCTAAACTGTATGCACTCTCCATAAACCATTGTACACCAACAAATCATGTTCATGGCAGCCTCTGTGCCTTGCTCATGCCCTTCCCCATGATTCCAAATCAGCTTTCCTCTTGGGGACCCACTGCAAGCTAATGACATCATAATTTTCTCAGACACTCAGATTCCATATCTCAGCTATATGAGATCAGGCTTAATATTTTACATAAATTATCTCATCAATTCCTCATGAACTCTTTGAGAGGCTTAGAAAGAATAAGTCACATGCCAAAAACATACAGCCTATGTGTGGAGAAGTCAAGATTTAAATCAGGATCTGGTCTGATCATCAATCCCATGATCTTAATTACTTTTATGCCTATTCCATAGGTAGACAGATGAATGGATAGATAGACGGATGGACAGATAGCTAGCTAGCTAGACAGACAGACAGATGACAGACAGACAGATACCAACTTCTAGTATTTTTTTCACTTTTGATTCCTCTTAAATTCATTTCTTCTGTTTTATTTCCACTACCAATTGCCACATCCTAGATTTTTACAGTTGTTACCTCATTCTGTGTCATTTTACTTTTCTCTACATTTTGGGAATATCCTGTTTTCTTAACTTTAGGAAGGGATGGTTGCTTTGGGAGGAATTTAGCCCTGCTAAATCCAGTTTTTTTTTTCTTAAATGTAGAAGTGTTCCTGCCAAAAAAGCATTCCTGGAAAACTATAGGATCTAATGTCCTTCTGCTCACTATACAGAGCCACACATTCACCCTCCTCCCTGCACATACACACGCGCACGCGCGCGCGCGCGCGCACACACACACACACACACACACACGCTCCATCTCCTAAACAACTCTGTAGTTAGAATGGCCAAGATATCAGAGCACCACATTTGCACTGATGTCTCTCTGGACTTCATTAAAAATCTACTCCCAAGAATCAGCATGATATTGGTGGGAGGACAGAACCAAGGAGAGAGATTTTAGCATTTTCAATACCATTAACAGACTCTACGATCTTGTAAAAGCCATTCAACTTGTCCTGGCTTTCTGTTAAGGGGTCACAATTCTAACCACAATTAGGTCCTTCAATGATGGGTAATGGCACATTTTATTGCGTGCCTTTCTGCCCCCTCAGAATTTACACTCTGTAAAGTTATTGCATAAGGCTTGTTCTGCAAATTCAAACACATCATCTAAACAATGGTCTCAAAGTGTTGCTGGCACACATAAGTTTCTCTTGATATACTAGTTCAAGTCCTCTCTGCTTTTCATAATGCTTAGTTCCTCAATGTCAGATGACCATGCAATCTACATTTGCTAATGACTAAATTGCAACACAGAGTAACTTAATGACTCTAACCAAACAATGGTGTAAATGGTTAATATACTCGACTGCTAACGGGAAGATATAAGATTTGAGTTCACTCAGAGACGCCTAGGAAGAAAGCCTTGTGATCTAATTCTGAAAACTCAGTCACTGAAAACCCTACGGAGTACAGTTCTACTCTCACACATATGGAGGCACCATGAGTCAGAATTGACTCAATGGCAACTAGCTGGGGTTTTTTTGGATAGCACCTCACTACTCAGAATGAGGTCTGGAGACCAGCAGAATCAGGATCACTTGGAAACCTGTTAAAAAACAAAAAAACCTTTGTGGTCGAGGCAATTTGACTCATAGTGACCCTAGGACAGAGTAGAACTGCCCTATAGGTTTTCCAGTGGTGTAATCGTTATGGGAGCAGACTGCCACATCTTTCTTCTGCCGAGCAGCTGCTGGGTTCAAACTACCAACCTTTCAGTTAGAAGCACTAAATCTCAAGCCCCACTCCAAATAATGATGTAAATGAATCAGAATCTGGATTTTTAAGAGATTTCAGGTAACTCACGTGCACATTAAAAATTAAGAGACCCTGGGCTCTAACTCATTCCATTAAAATTTGGTGCTGTCCACCTTGTGATCTTCCTTGGTCTGTCATCCCACAGACACCTATTTAACTTTCTGCTTCTGCCTCCAGGTTGAAAGGGAGGTTTTAGAACAGACTGACCATTATTAATTTCCAATCTACATTGCATTATTGCATATAATAACTTGATGTCTTCAGATTTCGAGTAGACTGCCATTCTCTAATTCTGGCAAATCTAATTTGCTAAGCCTGTGTCCAAACAAAAAACAAAGGAGAATAGATTAGCCAAGTTAGCTGAGGTTATAAAGGTGAACTACTGTAAGATTGTCATTGTCCAGCAATAGTACAACTAAACTAGCCCGAAAAGGGAGATCAGTCAGAGATCATGACTGACTCTATTGTTAGTCTTGAGGGAGAAAAAGTCCAAGATGCAGAGTGACAAGAACATGGAGTCCATGGGGTTCACTGGCAGGTTTCGAAGACCCATGGGTGCTAGTCTCAGCCCATTATTCATTTGTGTTTATAATCCATCAAGTATGCACTTATACTTGAACACTGGGGTCAATGTGAAAATAGACATTCTTTCTGTCCTTTGGAGCTTGTAATCATAATTCTATGACGGCAAGTTGGCAGCGTCTCTGGATGT